TCTCTCTCTCTCTCTCTCTCTCTCTCTCTCTCTCTCTCTCTCTCCTCTCTCTCTAAAATCAAGTTTATATATACTTAATTGTAGATATTGACTTAAGGACTGGGTGTATACAAGCAGTTCTGCTTTGGATTTGAATTGAAAGAAAAGTTGATGAAATTCAGTCCTGAAGGAGGGTACCTGCAGCTCTTGACATATCGTATGTGGTGTGTCACAGCTGCTCCTGTTTCAAGTGACAGAGAAGTGAGATGGAGGATGCTACTTCTCATCAATGTGGAGAGGCTGGAAGTGTGTCTGACCACCATACGTAGACACTAGTCTCTGGGCACAATTCGGGACCCTGTCTAACTGTCCTAAGTATGATGGGGGGGGGGGGGCAGTATGACCACACCAAGGGACAGTACTCCATGATGGAGGCAGATTGGGAGTAGTAGAGTGTGTAACAACCTTTGGGGTCCAGGAAAGGAGTGTTGTGTCAGATGCATGCCAATTTCTTCAATGCATTCTTTACCATTCCTCTCTCCTCCCTCCTCTCTTCTCTCCTCACTCCTCTCCTCTCTCCTCACTCCTCTCCTCTCTCCTCACTCCTCTCCTCTCTCCTCACTCCTCTCCTCTCTCTCTCTCTCCCCCTTCTCTCTCTCTCTCCCTTCTCTCTCTCTCCCCCTTCTCTCTCTCTCTCTCCCCCTTCTCTCTCTCTCTCTCTCCCCCTTCTCTCTCTCTCCCCCTTCTCTCTCTCTCTCCCCCTTCTCTCTCTCTCCCCCCCTTCTCTCTCTCTCTCCCCCTTCTCTCTCTCTCTCCCCTTCTCTCTCTCTCTCCCCCTTCTCTCTCTCTCTCCCCTCTCTCTCTCTCTCTCCTCTCTCTCTCTCTCCTCTCTCTCTCTCTCTCCCTCTCTCTCTCTCTCTCCCCTCTCCTCTCTCCTCTCCCCTCTCCCTCTCTCCCTCTCTCCCCTCTCTCCTTCTCTCCCCTCTCTCCCTCTCTCCTTCTCTCCTTCTCTCCTTCTCTCCTTCTCTCTCTCCCTCTCTCTCCCTCTCTCTCCTCTCTCTCTCCTCTCTCCCTCCTCTCCTCTCTTCCCTCTCTCTCCCCCCTCTCTCTCTCTCTCCCTCCCCCTTCCTGTCCCCCAGTTTCCCTCCCCCCTCTCTTTCTCTGTCCTCCAGTTTCCCTCCCTCCCTCTTGTGTATAGTTCCCAGCATTGTATAACATAACATGTCTTGTACATTAATTAGTCAGACACGGGAAAATCTGACCTTATTAGTATTCCTGGCTATTGTTACCCCGTTATTCCCAATTAGTTTACAAGTTACTGGCATTTAAAAAATAATTTCAATCACTGTGTTGTTGGTTATTTATAACTAGGCTGTAAACAGATAACACACAGAATGGTAGGTAGTGGTAGTTTTTTTTTTTTTTATTTTGGGATGCAGTTTCAAAGAATGAGTCTAATTCAAAATACAAGCCCATCTGAATGTTGCACATGAGCACATATTTCATAATCCTTTGCATATTTTAGATGTCAGTGCTGAATCTAGTATTGTTCTCTGCAGCATATTTTTATCATTTGTCACCATCATAATCATCATTCTTTTTTTTTACACAATACTAAGTGCAAGACTCGACCCCCCCCCCCCCTCACACAACCCTGGCCCAGTGCCCCAGGGTTGAAAGCCACACCTGGGTGCCAGCTTCTTGCCCAGTCCTTAACCAGTCTTCCCTAAACAGGAGGAAACCCGCCCCCAAGGAAAGCGTCCCATGTGTGAGGTAAAGCTCCACCGTGCTCTTTGCAACCTGCTCAATGAGCTCAGTCCCTGGGAATCCAAACTGCTGGCAGCCAACAAGAGAATGCGCACCAAGATGAGGCATGAATGGACTGATTACCAAAAGAGGTGAGTTTGTGTGTGTGTGTGTGTGTGTGTGTGTGTGTGTGTGTGTGTGTGTGTGTGTGTGTGTGTGTGTGTGTATGTGTGTGTGCGTGCACGCGTGTGTGTTATCATGTGTGGGTGAGTGATTGAGTGAGTGTGAGAGTAAATAATTGCTTAAATGTCATTACCTGTAATACTGATGCTGCCAGCCACCCAGCACATGACCCCAGAACAGAAACTGATGCGTGTCCTCACTGTCCTCCCAGAGATGAGAACTACGTGGACCCGGCCGAGGAGGCGTGGGCCAGCGACCCCGAACCGGAGCCAGAGCCTCCCCCGCCGCCACCGCAGGAGTCCTCCTCTTCCTCATCGTCTAGTGAGGAGTCCCTGGATGGTGAGGACGCTAAATTGTGCTTCTGTTGTAGCTTTCGGATGCAGGAGGGAGGAGGTTGTTCAACATTAATCTCAGTTTTCGGTACTTGATCAATTAGCTTACATGCATGAGGTTAGTCCTGTCTGTTCATCCCTAATGTGCCTTTGTCCTCGCAGAGGAGGGGAACCCAAAGCGCAAGCTGAGGAAGCGGCGGGCAAAGCAGCAGGCGGCGTCGCTGATCATGGAGAACACGGCCCCGGCCCCCGAGGTGACCAGTGTTGCCACGCCGGAGGAGACCTCGGATGGCTACGCTGTCTCGTCCAGGGGCCGTATCCGCAAGGTCAAGAAGATGATCAACTACGATGGGCTAGACTTTGAGAAACTGGCACTGCAGGCTTCGCTGGAGGCTGAGCAGGAGAGGGTGAGGAAGAAGAGGAAGAAGGAGGAGGAAGAGAGGGAGCGCGAAGAGCAGGAGAACAGTAACAGTAGCAGCAACAACAGTCACCAGCCGATGTCAGGGGTGCGGCGCTACCTCATGTCACAGACAGGGCGGCTGATGGGCTACATCGACAATGAGGGGCAGGTGCATTCGGGCAGCGCAGTGAAGGATTCCAAGGGCGACAGAGTTGACATATCATCGGTGAGGAACTTGGCCAGCCAGCTCGTGTCTGGGGCCAAGAAGGACGGCACGCACACTCCTATGAAAACAGGTGCCAGTGCACCCAGCGAAACTGTTCAGAACTCCAGCCTGAAGCCGGGAGTGCCCACCGTGGTGGTGGCAGCCATCAACAACCAGGGGTCGCCGGTGTACGTGCGCGTGGTGGGCGAGCAGGCGCTGCAGCTGGTCAAGTACATGCGCCCCAGCACCAAGGGCCCCGTGTCCCAGATCAAGCTGCAGCACCACGGCCAGACCTACACCGTCAACACCAACGCCCACATGATAACACACAACATTCCAGGCATGCCAGATGGGGAGGCCACGGAGAAGCCGAGCCCCAGCACCACTCAGTCTGGTAATAGTGCCGTCCCACCTACCTCAGCTCTGAATCAGCCGAGGCCTGCCACCGCTCTCCAGGCCCTCTCCACTAGCACCTCGCCCTCTGGCCCGCGCGTAGCACCCGTGTCCAACATGGTGACCTCGGCTCCAAATCCTCCCAACACTCTTGCCCTTGCGTACCGGGGCGTATCAAAGCCCACCAGGCCACTCACCATTTCTACGCCAAGTCGACCCACGGGCACGCTGGTGCCCGGTGCTGTGGCACTGCAGAATCCCAACCACCAGCCAGCCCTTGCCACAACGAGGCTGGTGTCGGCGTCGCCCTCGGTGGTGTCGTCCGTGGTGCCGCCCACGGTCAGGAGCAACGCCAGCCTTGGTTCGTCCACCCATGGTGTCATGACTGTCAGTCAGCAGGTCAGCAACAGACAGCCAGCGCCCACGGTGATTGCCTCGTCCCCCAGACCACCTGGGACGCCGGTGGTTAACAGAATAGCTGTGTCATCTGGCGTGGCTCACAGCAATGTTGGTGCTAGTCCACATCAGCCTGGGACGCAGGTGGTAGTGCAGCAGCAACAGCCGCAACAACAGACAGTCGGACAGCAGCAGCAGCCACAGCAGCAGCAACAGCAGCAGCAGACTGTGGTCCAGACCCCAGCACCAGTAACCCTTGCCAGCTCACAGCCTTTGGGGCAAGCAGTGACAGTCACAAGCATGGCAGTTCCTGGTGCTGGGGGTCAAGTACAACTCAAGCTGGAGTCCGAGTCGTTGGCCCAGCTGATGCAGCGCACTGGGAGCAAGATCGTAGCCTTGCCCAATGGGCGAGGAGGCTATACCCTCTCCCTCACCCCTGGAGCCGTCACCCCTGGTCAGGCAGGCCAGAAGGCACAACAGACTCAGATAGCAGCCAACACTGCTGCCAAGGTGCAGGTAGTGTCCTGCACCACGCCCATTCTCCAGGAAGCCTCCCCGCCGCCCGCGCCTCAGCAGCAGCAGCAGCAGCAGCAGCAGGTGATCCAGCAGCAGGCTCACATCATCTCGCCGCAAGGAGTGTCCAGAACAGCCACAGTGGTCCACCCAGGCATGGCCGCAGTGCCCCGGGCAGCTGGCGTAGTGCAGCAACAGGTGGTGAGACAGGTGGTACCAGTGAGCCAAACCCACGTGCTGAAGGATGCAGGGGCAGCCACACAGGTGGTAGCATCCAGTGGCAGCCAGCAGCAGACAGTGTACCAGCGTGTGGGCGTGCCGCAGCGTGTGTACAACCAGCTGGTGACAGCCACCTCCAGCGCCCCTGCCACGACATCGGTGCCCGCCTCCCAGCACACTCTCGCCACCACAGTCGTCAATGCCAACCAGCAGGTCCAGGGGGCACTCCAGCACGCAGTGGTCCAGAAGGCCGCTACGAGTGGCACTCCACAAACAGTGAGCTTCCAGGCCACGTCACCAGGGGGCCAGCAACAGCAGTTCGTGGTGCAGCAGCGTGTGGTGCCAAGCAGCCAGGTGACAACCCAAGCGACGCCGGCAGTGGTCCAGCAGGGCACGGGCGGAGCGACCACGACCTTCAAGCCCATGGTCATAAGTCAGGGCGTCCAGCAGGGTGGGCAGCAGGTGGTGCGGGTCGCCCACACGCCCGTCATACAGCAACAGCAGCAGCAGCAGGTAGTGAGGTTGCAACACGCGTCGCCCACGAACACGACACAAAAGCTGGTTCAGATAGTACAGCCCGGAGGCGCAAGGCAGGTGGTTCAGATGGTGCAGCAGGTGGTTGCCACGCAGGCGCAGGCCACGGCAGGCCATCAGGGCCTCATCTACGTGCAAGGGTCGGGTCAGGTCATACAGCAGCAACCTAAAACGTCAATAGGGACCATCCAGCAGAGTCTGGCACAGCCGCAGCAACAGCAGGTGGTGGTGGGCCAGGTGGCACAGCAGCAGATCTTGCAGCAGCAGCAACAGCAGCAAGTGGCAGTGCAACCACAGCAGCAAATAGTACAACAGCAGCAGATTCTGCGACACCAACCACAAGCCACACATCAGGTGACGCAGCAACAGCAGGCTGTAGTCCAGCAGCAGCAAACCGTAGTGCAACAGCAGCAGCCTGCACCACAGCAGCAGCAGCAGCAGCAGCAGACACAGCCGCAGGTACAACAAGGGCGACTCGTGTTACTGAGAACCAATCAAGGAGAGCAGGTGTGCCTGCAGCACGCGGACGGGAGGGTGTCGCTGCTGTCCCAGGAGCAGCTGCAAGCAGTCATCAGAAACGGCTCGAGTAAGGCCGCTCAGCAGACGTGAGAGAAGACTGCGGCTGCGAGAAACAGCAGACAGGAGTGACGTTGCTCCAGTGATATCATGACCTGACAGCCGGTGTTGAAACAGGAGAGACCATGCCGGAGTTTTTTCCTTTTTTGTTTTGTTTTGACGAGGTGAAGTTGTTTATTACAATAGTGCGTGTGTGTATCGTGTGTGTGTTCACGTGCAAATGCGAAAGGCTCCGGCTAACGAGATGGAATTGTGTTCCCCAAGGTTAATCGTCACAGGAAGAGGAAAAATCACATTTTGACGTTGTATGTATATGATTTTATTCTGAAATGGACCTCTGTTGTAGTAGACGTCTTTTACAATTGAACTAAAAATTATTTGTATGCTTACACCATTCCACCTACCATAGCACCAGAACGGCCAAGTGCTACAGGAACCTCGGCCAAGACGGAAATTCAAAGGAGGTTTTCTGGACGCTCACCCGCCCGCCACTCTCTGCGCCTCTCACCGCGGCGTCCTGGACTCTGATTCTGGAAGTGGGACTTCTAGTGAGGGTCGCCAGTGCATGAACACTCGAGTGAAATGGAAGACGTTTAGTTTTGTCCTCTCACTGCAACCGTGTGTTAGGTTTGTACTCGCACTGCAGCCGTGTAGTGTTCCCGACATGTCATATCTCATCCTACTGCTCGCTGTGACGGACTATTGAGGGGAACATGGAGAGTGAACTTTATATTTATACGTATTTATTTAATTTATATTTGTTTTCCTCTCAGATAACCACGTGGTAGGAAAAGAGCGATAGGGGGAGGGGGTTCTAACCCACTAGGACGCCAAGTTCATGCAGTAGCAACAGCGTCGTCTCTGTGGCATACAGATCATCTGTGCATGAGTGTGTCAGACTTCCACAGGATAAGACAATAACGGTGAAAAAGCGAAGCAGTTGTTGCGATTGCACCATTAGTGTAAAGGTGATTTACTTCACGGTCTAAGGTCACAAGGTCCAAGTAGACGGAGGGAAGGCTTGGAACCGCAGTACCATTGCAATACACCCATTTCTACAGCATCACACTCGCCATTCCATCCATTACAGAGCATTGTACAAGTTAGTGTGGGTTATTCTCTGTTGGTATTTAGGTTGCTACGGATGCGCTGGCTTGGGGACCAGGAGGGACGCGAGTGGCTGGTATTTTTATAAAAACCCTCTGCGATCGGAAGGACAGAGCTCGTCTCGAGGGACTACCTTCGGCATGTCGACGAAGGAATAAAATCAGGAGGCAGTGACTGTCGCTGGCTCCGCTGGCGGCCGAGCGGTCAGCCGTCTCTCGGCGACACCACGCGCACGTTCGCAAGCTGCGGCCGAAGCAGTTCGAAAGCACGGCAGGCTCGTTGCTGGTGGCGTCAAGGCGGCGCTCGGCTCGCACCTGCACTCTCTTCCGAGGTGTGTGTGTGTGTGTGTGTGTGGACGTGTGCGTATACGAATATGTATATGTATGTATTTACACACACACACACACACACACACACACACACACACACACACACACATACATACATACATACATACATACATACATACATACATACATACATACATACATAAATACATACATACATACAGTACGTACATATATGTGTGTGTACACATACATGTTATACATATACATATATAGACATACACCCATTCATGCGCGCGCGCACGCACACACACACACACACACACACACACACACACACACACACACACACACACACACACACACACACACACACACACACACACACAACACACACACACACGTACATATACATTTTCATATATTTATGCGTGTACAGCCCAGTCCCACGAGTGTTTGTTTGTTTGTTTTCGCCGAGCGTGGCTTCTTGCCCGGTGGTTCGAGCGGGCCAGGGGGAGGGGGGAGGGGGGAGGCAGTCAGACCCGTAGGAAGGGACTCGGTGCTTGTAGTTCACGTCTCTGTATCCCGATGCTCAAAGTCTATTTATTTTTTTGGTCTCGATGAAACAAA